GTTGGCGGTCCCGGTCTGGTACAGGCGCGACACTGAGGGTTGCGATCCATTGCCGGTCACGAAAAAAGACAAAAAGGAAAAAAAAAAAAAGGGATGTCAGTTCCAAAATGGCTATGGGTTGGACCACGGAGAACTTCAGTCCCTGAAGAAGTTACAGTGAAAACAAGCATCCCGCTGCCAGGTCCTAGAGTCAGACTTGACGCTCTGTGGGCGAGGCGTGGGGAGGAAGAAACAGACACTCCATGCAGAGATGGCCAGGCCTGCCACTGGCAAGGCTTCCTGTTCTTATTACCAAACTGTTTACATTACATTACTTGTTATTTATCCCAAATACACATCCCCACGAGGCTGGTGCCATTATCGTTCCCATTTTACTGATTAGGAAACTGAGGTTCCTGTAAATAAAGCAACCTGGCCAAGCCTCAGAGCTTGATTTGCGTCAGGTCCACGTGACATACAGGCCCCTGCTCTTTCCAGGGACCGTGCCACAGGCTTGAGTGGGAGGGACACAGCAAGGTGGCCAGGGCCTGGGCCGGCAGCTTCCGGGACAGAACTTGCTCCCATTATCCGTGGTTTCTCCAGTGCCCGCTGCAGCCTCACACAAGGCCACGGCTCAAGAAGACTGTGTTGGGAGTTAGGTTGCCTGGTTCACGGATGGGCTGGGAAAGCCCAGGCCCCAGCCTCTCTCAACCCTGCTCCCTAGACCCTGCCAGCTCTTTCCTTTCTCCCCTGTGTGATGACAGAGGTGGTGAAGCTGTAGTGTGTTGCGTGTTTACTATGTGCCAGGTTTTGCACAAACCACATCTTCACTTCTAATCTTCACCATAACCCCATGAGCATCGTGCTTATATTAGTCCCCATTGCAAGAGGAGGAAACTGAGGCACAGGGCAACCACGTGCCCAAGGTCATGCAGCTAGTCAGTGCTGAAGCCAGGGTTAGAGCTGGGAGCATCTTTTTTTTTTTTTTTTTTCCTTTTTGTCTTTTTCTGTGTCCGGCAACGGATCGCAACCCTCAGTGTCGCCCCCGTGCCGGACCAGGACCAGCAACGGGATCGCAACCCTCGGCGTTGCCCCCGTGCCTCGCTCAGCCAGTGAGCGGGAACCGGTCTGTATGTGGGATCCGAACCCTCGGGCGGGAGCGCCGCCGCGCTTGCCAAGCGGCGCACTATAGCAGTGCACCACCAGGCCGGCCCAGAGCTGGGAGCATCTTGAGCTTCGCTTTGCATTTCTCAGAGATGGGGGAGAGGGAATTGCCTTAGGCTGTTTACAGCTTCAGGTGGGGTGAGAATCAGTAAGAAAGCAGGCAGATCTCAGCCTTCCCACTGTCAGTAGACTCCAGGAAGGGGGTGAGCTACCCGCGGGAGGAAGTATGCAAGCAGGCTGCCCTTCATCACCTACTAGAATAGTTCCACTCTGATGTTTTTTATACATGAATGTTTGCTTTTAAGAAAGCTTCCCCTGCCCCAACATTTAAAAACTTGCAACCCACTTGTTAAGATGAGGTTTCCAGCAACCAGCTGCTATGAACACAAAGATACTTCCCTCCTTGAATAAGAATGACAGTAGCTTTTTAAATCTTTGAAAACATCATTTATTGAGCTTCATTACATACCGAATACTATGCCATGAACTTTCCATATTTTATGATGTAAGATGCCTTCCGGATAACCTTTGGAGGCAAATATTAATATGCCCATTTTACAGATGAGTAAACTGAGACTCAGAAGGGTCAAGCAACTTGCTCACCCACGCAGCTGTAAGTGGCAAGTCCAGGAACCTCCTGACTACAACCCCCACGCCTTCCTCCTAATCGGGGCCTTGCAGGTTGGGTGTATCAGCTGTGTGTTCCTCTACTGAAGCGTGTGGCACTGAGAAGGTGAAAGGTCTGGGAAGAGGTTTTCCATCTTTGCATCCAGGTGCCAAGGCCAAGGAAAGATAGCGGCCTGGCACAAAGCAGCCACTCAACACTGGCCACTTAGAGCACGCAGGACGGGTCTGGGGGTCCCAAGGTCACTTTGGGGGAGAAAACTGCAGCAATAGCTCTAATCCCACAGCTCTGGCCTCACCAGCCAGGAGGGATGATTGACACCATTCTGTTCCCAGAGAAAACACCATCTGCTGAACACAAACTGCAGGCTTTTCTGTCATTTAATCTTTGGAGGGACTGGGGCACATTTCAACCCTGAGGAAAAGGCTCTAGGGTTGGACTGGGCTTTGTCCAGCTCTCCACTCTGACTCTTACTATGCAAACTGGGCTAAGTCAGTTCCCATCTCTCAGCCTCAGTTTCCTGATCTGTACAGTGGGTCTGCAGGACTGAGGTTGGGGTCTGAAGGGAGCTGGTAAAGCACTTGCACAGTGGATGGCACGCGTCATGTGCCCAGTGGGTGGCTGATGCTGCTGTTGTGGGAACTGCAGGGCCAGGAGGGGTGAGAGAGCCCTGCATAGCCCTGCCCACCCACTCAGGGCCACGGGGCACCTAGCCAACCCCCTGGGGGCAGTCTCTGTGTGCAGTTGGGATCTTGGTTCCCCTTGGCCCCAACAGGGCAGATGTGGGAGACTAGGGAGATGGGAGCTCCAGCCTCTGGGCCTAGGCAGGGTCCCAGCAGGGCCAGGAGAAGTTCTCTGCAGTGCTCCCTGCAGGGCAGGTGGTCCTGTAACCGCCTGTTCTCCCCCCACCTCCCTGTGCACACTACTGAGACTCCAGAAACCTCAGAGCCAGGAACGGTCTTAGAAGCTGGCAAAAGCTTGGACTTCAAAGTCAGCCAGACCTTAGTGCAGATCCCAGCCCTGCTAAGGGACCTCGGCCAAGTAACCTAACCTCTCTGAGCCTCAGCTTTTCCATCTGTCAAATGGGTTGTTGGGACACTTCACTAAGGTGTGTGGCACGTACTAATGCTGGTTAACTTTGTATAGCAATGATTACCACCACCGCCATCGTCATCGCCATCATTATCAGAAGTCCCAGGTCCAGCCTCCCACAAGCTTCTCTCCAAACTCTAGATGCCTGTGAGCTGACCCTGTCCCCTTCTTTGTCCCTTCTCTACAGCATTCAGCTTAGTGATCCCAAAGGGAGCCAGGTGACAAGTGGCCAGGCCGATCCCAGTTCACCAACCCCATCCTTCTTTCCTCATGGGACTGCCCTGTGGTAGAAAATGGCCTCAGGTCTTGCTGCCATGATCTATGTCCCTTATAAAAGTAGCTTTACTGAGATTTTCCTGAGTATGAAAACTATACATTTTTTATATGTCATTTTTATTGTGGTAAAATATATGTAACATAAAAGTTACCATTTTAATCATGTTTAAGTGTACAATTCAGTGGCATTAAGGACATTCACGTTGTGCAGCCACCACCACCGTCCACCTCCAATAACTCTTTTTTTGTCTGGAAAATTGGAAACTCTATGCCCATTAAGCACCAACTCCCCAGTCCCTGTCCCCCGGCCCCTGGCACCCACCCTTCTACTTTCTGTCTCTG